GTGCGCTCTCAGGACATTATTACCTGCAGTGTTCCCTCAGTGAGGACTGAACTAGGCAAAAGGGCCTTCTCCTACTCCGCTCCTGTTTCCTGGAATATCTTACAAAAAGATTTGAAGCTCTCGACCTTGACCTCTCTAAGTGGCTTTAAGAATCTGTTGGACTCCTGGCGGGGTCCAATGCAGACATGTTCCTGTTTTTAGTTTTATACATTTGTCTTGGAATCTAGCTGTTTTTTTGTTTTGTTACCTTTTTCCTTTTAGCCATATTATTTGTTTAAAAAAAAAAAAAAAAAAACTGTAGTATGAGTTTTTATAACTGCTTATTGTTGTTGCTGTTGTCCATTGTTGTCATCTTTCTTTGTTGAAATCAGGTCTCTCTTGTAAATGAGTCCTCGAGGCTCAATGGGATTTACCTGTATAAATAAAGGTTGATTGATGGCTGTTTACTATTCACAGAGGGCTGAGTGATACTAGCAATCACAGCATTGTAAGAGGGGGACAATTGAACACGTAGGCCTCCACCCCTGTTTAATGATGGACGGTTTCTTTTCACAAAGATGGCCTCCTTTACTCCTCTCTCAAACCATCGTTCCTCTCTATCCAGGATGTGAACATCTTCATCCCTGAAAGAGTGACCGCTGGCCTGGAGATGAGTGTAGACCGCAGAGTCCTGGCCTGATGATGTTGATCTTCTGTGCTGGGCCATCCTTTTGGCCAGTGGCTGTTTTGTTTCCCTGATGTAAGACTGACCACAGCCCTCCTGACACTGAACAGCATACACAACATTACTCTGTTTGTGCTGGGGGACTGGATCTTTGGGATGAACCAGTCTTTGCCGTAATGTATTTTGGGGTTTAAAAGCCACTGGGACGTTATGTTTAGAAAATAAACGTCTCAGTTTCTCAGATACTCCCTCAACATATGGAATGACCACTGGTCTGGGTCTGGGTTCCTCCTTTTCACCTTTTGGCTGACTGGAGTCCTGTTTGGGTTTCTTCTCTGCTTTCAGGAAGGCCCAGTTAGGATATCCACATTGCTCTAGAGCCTGTCTTGTGTGGGATTTCTCCTTCTGCCTGGCTCCTGAGCTAGTGGGGACGCTGTCTGCTCTGTGATACAGAGTCCTGATGACTCCTAACTTGTGCTCCAAAGGGTGATGGGAGTCAAACTGCAAATAGTGTGGGTGGGTTTGCGGTACACCTCAGTTTGCAAATGTCCTCTATCAGAGACTGAGACCTCACAGTCCAAGAAAGCCAACTTGCCATTTTTTTCATCCTCTCGTGTGAACTTGATGTATTTATCCACAGAGTTGATGTGGTCAGTAAAATGTTGGACTTCCTGAGATTTAATTTTAACCTAGGTGTCGTCAACATACCTGAACCAATGACTTGGTGGTGTCCCTGAAAAGGACGTCAAGGCTCTCTTTTGTACCTCCTCCATGTACAGGTTGGCAATAATAGGAGAAACTGGAGACCCCATAGCACACCCATGTTTCTGCCTATAATATTGCTCCCCATATGTGAAGAGTAATGTTGTGTATGCTGTTCAGT